GTACGGGCGGAACTTTAAACGTTAATAACTTTTTAACGAAGCCTCCATCAACAAATTGGTATTCTTGACTCTTTCGTCTTATTTTGACCTCTTGAATGTCCCATTAAAATTTTTCTCAGGGGTGGCCGAACATCCTATATAAAATGAAAGGCCTAACTCACTGACTCATCAACGCCCAAGCCAAACCCTTGGACATAAAAAGCTGAAGTTTTGCACAGAGGTTTCCTTTAACAAGGAATAAGAAAGGATATTCCGAAACTCAATCCCAAAGGGGGTGGAAAGGGGTTGCAACGTTTATATGAGGAATATTTTATTTGTGGTCGGATTTACTTGAAACTTGGTCTTAATGCTCTTTGATATAATTAATCAAACGCCTATTTCGGCATTTTAAAAAATGCAATCTCTGAAGGGGAGAAAAGGGGTTGCAACGTTTGTATGGGACATATTTTGTTCGCGATCGGATTTACCTGATACTTGGTCCGAATGCTCATTGATACACTTATTTCGCATTAAAGTTGCCTTATTTCCGTAAATGGATCTAGAAACTTCAAATTTAACATGTAAGTACGTAATTATTATCTTACCACTAAACCGTTGCAATGGTGTATATACGCCTAAATATCGGTATGGGTGTCGTTATGGAGGTCTTTTGGGACGGTAATTACGCAAATGGTATCAATTTTGAAATGTAAGATGGCGACATGACATAAAATTAAAACTCTATAGAGGTGAATGGGGGCTTAAAAGGTTTTATGGAGAAATAATCTCTATTTCCGGGGGAATTACACGGTTTCCTGTATAAGCGAAACCGCGGGCAAAAGCTAGTATTAAATATGAACATTTAATAATAACCTCTAAATAAATATCTTGTAAAAAGTGACGAATCTAAAGTCTCTGACATAAACACATAAAATAATTGTTTACAAATCAAATTCGAGATTGTGTCAAATTGGTGTAATTCCTGAAAATTATTCAAAACCTAAATTAACCTTATCTTGACAACTAACCCAAACGTATAGACGCCATGTTAAAGTGTCTCTCGAAAATCCCACAAGGCCACTATTTCGGCGATACCATGGACGTACACAACAGTCGGATTATTAACGAAAGGATTGACAGAATTCGGTCATCCGGTTCTAAGAGTAGTTAGATCTATTTTAATCTTAATCTAGCCTAATCAGAGCTGTGAGATTAGGTAGAAGGGTCACGGCGTCGCTAGGCGCGATATTTTTAAGGCATGGGCACGCGAAAGATAGAAAGAATCGAAGCAGAAGTTCGAAAATAATGTTTCGACTGTCTCAGAACAATCTCAAACAATCTAAGAACTTGAATACTCCCATTTAATATGAACCTTCTTTATTGTAATAAATTCCTTTACCTTTCCGTTTCTTTTCTTCCTTTAAATTAATTTACTGTATGTCAATTAAAAACGGAGGAAGAACTAGTAAAAAAGTAGATCGAACAAGCAGTTTAGAATAGAGGAAATAAGGGAAATTTACACTGGTGGACAAAATGATAAGGCACCGTTGTACACATAAGAAATTCCAGATGTATTTAGTAAAATCTTAAAGTTATTAGCAGTAAACTATGTTATAAGTGAGAAACTTCCTTTCAAGGCCACGTACCAGTCTAGACAAACAAAACACGGTGCATTGTGGTCTTTGAGTTTCATTGTTTCGAAATTTCAGGAGGACAAAATGTTAAGGCACTTGAAGTAGTCTGTTAGAAAACGTTGAAGTGTGCAGTTCTCTGCAAGTTTATCTTGTAGAAATTACTTATTAATAGTTAGTTTATAAGTGTTTAAATACTTTTTAACCCAAAATTAAATTATGGGACGAGGAACAGCATTAAGCGAAGATGAGAAGATTAAAATACTCCAGTTAAAGTCTAATGGAGAAAATCAAGTACAGATTGCAAAAAAACTAAAAAGTAGTCGGTGTGTTATACAGAATTTTTTACAAAACCCCGAAAAATATGGGAAACAGAAGTCAAAGGGAAGACCTGCAGCCCTTTCTTCAAGAGAAAAAAGATTAATTTTGAAAAAAGCATCGAATTCTGGACTTACGCCTCGACAAATTGCAGTGGATTGTGGAGTTAACGTATCGACTAAAACAGTGAAAAGAGTAATTAAAAAAACAAGCTATTTAAAACGGAAGAAATTTACTATAAAGCCGCCATTAACAGACAAACATAAGACCGCCCGATTAAGTTTTGCAATAGAGCACATTCAATGGAAAAACCAGTGGAAACGAATTATATTCACGGATGAAAAAAAACTGAATTTGGATGGTCCAGATGGATATAAATACTATTTCCACGATTTAAGAAAGGAGCAAAGGGTATTAAGTCGCAGACAATGTGGTGGTGGTGGAGTAATGATATGGGCAGGTATCGGCTATAGAGGAAAAACGGAAATAGAATTCATTCAAGGCCGTATGAATAGTGCTGGTTACTTAAATTTAATTAAGAGACACATAGACACTTACGCTCGCAGAATTGCTGGGACAAAATATATATTTCAGCAAGATAATGCAGCTGTGCATACCGCTCGCATAGTAAAAAATTATTTTGAAACGGAAAATGTAAAGGTTTTAAATTGGCCCGCAAGATCTCCTGACCTAAGTATTATTGAGAATGTTTGGGGAAAACTCAGCCGAACATTATATGAAGGTGGAAAACAGTATAATACAGTGTCCGAATTAAAATCTGCAATTTTAGAAGCTTGGGAAAGCTTGGATCAAAATTATATAAAGGATCTGTACAGAAGTTTACCAAGAAGAATGATTGAAGTGGTACATCGTCAAGGGCAGTCGACACATTATTAAAACTTAAAAAAACTATGTAATCTTATTTCATTTTAATACTTTTGTAATTTTATATTGAAAGTGCCTTATAATTTTGTCCACACTCAATTTCATTTTCTTGGTATAAATAATAAATGGATTGAACGATTTATTTAATTTTTTCATATATTATGTCAAAACTAGTACCTTATTTTGTTGTGTATTCATATTCCACGTATATGTACAAATAGATGATCATTTCCAAAAATTTTGAGGTGCCTTATCATTTTGTCCACCAGTGTATGTACAAAAAGTGCAGAGAATTCAGTGGTTGGCTATGAAAAAACTGTTCAAACAAATCAAGGGAAAATCAGGACGAGGGAAGAAGACGAAAGATTCGAATTTCTTGCAAAAAAATGGAATCAAAAAGTCAGTTAAAGCAGTTAAAATTTACCAAAAGCCAGTCCCGTTGCCCATTTTCAGCCTCGGTCAGCTGACTACGAATCGTTGAAATTTAAAATGGTAAAAGGCCTTTTGATTACATTTTTTCACAAGGAATTCAAATCTTTCGTCTTCCTCCCTTGTTCAGATTTTCCCTTGATTCGTTTAAATAGTTTTCCCATTACCAACCTGGATTCTCTGGACATTTAGACTGCGGATGTTTATACATTTATGGGAAATTTTAATTCTCAAAAAGTTACAGAGTGCACTTAATATGCAAATACATAAGAAATACTTGAAGTAAGATACGAATTATTATACTTAGGGGTCGAGACAACCCCCTACAAAGCTTCCATTTAAAGAAAGAAATAAAATACAACAATCTCCAGGCTTATTAGTGGGTAAACTATTTGAAAATCTCAATGTTTTAATGAACAGTGTTTAAATACATTTTAATAAAAAAGATGGCGTTGTCGAACGAGAAGAGGTATACTGTTTTTCATAAAATTCCATTATACGTTTAAAATATTGCTTTCAGTTCTAATATAAAACTTGGCAAGAACATATGGGACGAGCTAATATTTTTCTCGAAGTTGGAATGCTTTGCAGTTGAATAACGAACTTACAAAAGAAGAACTTCGATTTTAACAAGTCTTTGAAAGGTGATTGTATGTATTTAATTTTTGACTACCTACACCTAATATTTTACTCATATCATTAGAACTATACCCTACATATATAGGGTGTTCGGTCAACCCTCGGAAAAATTTTACTGGGAGATTCTAGAGGCCAAAATAAGACGAAAATCAAGAATACCAATTTGTTGATGGAGGCTTCGTTAAAAAGTTATTAACAATTAAATTTAAAAATTTCAAATCGGTCTGGAAAAATTATTTTCGGTTGCGGGGGTCAATTATAATCATTTTTGGTGAATAGACATACCCCTGAAATCCTGCGCATTTTCGAGAAAAAATTCAGTACGGGCGGAACTTTAAACATTAATAACTATATATGTATATAACTATAACTATGTATATGTAGGGTATAGTTCTAATGATATGAGTAAAATATTAGGTGTAGGTAGTCAATAATTTTAAAGATATAAACAATTAAAATTATGAACCGCACCTATATACTATAGACAGTAAAAGTTTATTGCGTTCACAGTGTAATGAAAAGTCAATAAAAATTATTGAAAAATTTAGTTTGTATTCCCAAAGGATGGTAAAGTAAATTGCGAAAATAAATTATAGCGTTAGATGCGACATTTAGTTTTAAAAAAATGAATAAAGACGTTAAATTTTGCAACGTGCACGTGAGACTGCCCCTTTAAAAAATATTGTTTAATAAACATTGTTATTCAGCATTTTAGTAGTAATTAGTCACTGTACGAATATTTTTTATACACCCACTGTACTGTCACCTTACAAAGACCCGTTAAGAATCGAAGTCGGACGATTCTTCCCTTGTTAGAAATGTTAGAATTTGTACTACGCGCCACTATCGTCAATGCGTCCTCACTTATTTCTTTTCCTAACTTCAGTTTATTTTATACATATACCTTCATGCAATATATACATATATTGTATACCCAACACGTTTTTCCTATGTAGTTTATAATTAAGTAAGTATAGTTGTTTTGTTCTAACCCTGTTTCAATCTTTTCATGCACCTATCGAAACAAGAAACACTTAGGACGCGAGATTTCAATGGGAATCGTTGCCCTGGGAGATTGCGAAACAATTAAATTCTGAATTAAAGATTAGTGCGTGGTACCTGAGAATAGGCGTCCTCTTGGTAGGGCGTCCTGCGGTGGCAGTCGTCGTAACACCTGCCGTCGTATCCGCTCGGCGGGCGCGGATACGGGTCCTGCGCGGCAGCGGCTGCGCAGCAGTCCGGTATCTGGGCCTGGTAGGCGTCGTAGGGGCACTTGTCGGGTTGGCCGGCGGCTCGCGGTGCCTGGTGCACCCGCTCCTGGGGCCCGGTCCCGTAACCAGCACCTCCAGAGTGATGCATCGTCCTCCCGTCGATCCACTGGTCGATCACCCCGATCACTGCATCCTTACGCGAGCCACGATCGATGCCACGTACCTCGTCTCTAACGCGGGCCACCCTTCGTGCGGGTCCATCGTCACTAGTCCCTTACGTTCGGACTCGCCTTCTTACCCCGGGCCTAACGCGAACCTAAATTGAACACGGATACGGGTCACTGGTGCCCGTAACCACCACCACTTTGACACGCTTTGCGGTCTGGATTCATTGGAATCGAGGAGTCAAGGAGGATATCCAATATTTTTACGCCCTATCCGTTTCAAACAAGTTTCCTCTTGGGACTTTCTACCTAGTGGACAACTTGCCAGAAATAGATTTTTCGAATATGACGTTCAGCGTAGGATAATCCAAGCTAATTTTGCTCTAAACGGATACATGATTATTCCCTAGCTCTACCTCTACCAGGTGGTCATTCGATTCGGAATATCCAGGTCTGGCTTATGTTTGGGTTAGGTCTAGAGGTTTCATTAAAAATTGAATTTTGGAATCGAGGAGTCAAGGAGGATATCCGATATTTTTACGTCCTATCCGTTTCAAACAAGTTTTCTCTTGGGACTTTTTACCTAACGGATCGTATGGACGACTCGCCAGAAATATGTTTCTCGAATACGACGTTCAGCGTAGGGTAATCCAGGCTGATCTAACCATTTTGCTCTAAATGGATGATTATTCCCTAGCTCTACCTCTGCCAGGTGGTAGAGGACTCTAGCGTACAATAGCTGTCAGAAAGTTTGCTCTTGGGACCTTTCGACTGACAGAGTCTAGAACAACCCCTCCAGAGACGCGACCCTTTCTAAACTATGACAACGAGTACTGTCCCAGTAGCGCCACGTTCTAGGAAAATGCAGGTTAATCTAAATCACCTACTCTAAATGGACAGAATCGTGCGTTTCTTTTCCTGACAGAGACTAGGCCAACTCTATGAATAAGAGCGATTATAACTTTCAAACTGCCACAGCAGCCATGTTTGTTATTCCCTTGTTCGCGTGACATTTGCATTCAGAAGTGTTTTAAAAGTCTATCGTGGAGAGATATACGATCACTCGACACGATGAAATTATTAAAATTTGCTATTAATAATTCCGTTTGTTTGATGGGCAACAAGACCCGCAATCCGTCATTTAACGGCAAAAAGGCACTGATTGCATTGTTGAGCAGCACAAATGGCCGTTGTGCCCACTCTGAATTTACTAATTAATTGGATCCTGATTTTGTTAAAAAAAATGATGCCCATTTTTGGACGAATGGCTTTGTCGATGGACAAAATTGTCGCATTTTGGGAGATGCTGATATTATCGTGTGGTGTTGTATTTTGGTTGATGGGGTCGTTGACTCCTATTTCTTTCAAAATGAAAATGTGACTGTCACCGTTGCTGGTGAGCGTTACTATTCAATGATTTTATCTTTCCTTTCGCGTGAATCGCGTGGATGTAATTCGCCTGAGATACAGTTTCGACAAAATGGTATCATATGCCACGCTTCTGCTGAAACTATCGCTTTATTGAGATCGGAGTTCAATGGTAAGATTATTTCGAGAAACGTCGCTGTCAAATACCTACCAAGATCTTCCGAATTGGTGTCATTAGACTTTTTCTTGCGAAGTTGGCTTAGACTTGGACTGTACTCAGCCAAAACGAAAATTAAAACCAAGAGTACCTAGCGATAACGCCGAAAAATAGGAGCAAAATCGAAATCAGCACAGAAAGTCTCAGAACACACAGACTTACAAAATACAGCATAAAACAACAAATTACAACGCCACCTGATAGACAGCTGTACGGTTCAGAATTGGACATCGATCGATTAATTTCATTGAAAATATAAAATCATTTTATTTCTCTACTTTCACCCATCATATGTAGGTCTTATGTATACATAAATTTATTTGTACCCTTACTTTGTTTTTGTCTTTGATGTTGCTTGTTGCACATGTTATGCTCCTATCCATATTTATTTTATGTCACTGCTTTATCTATGTCCATTTATTTTATTTCACGCATTTTACGTATCCTTGTCAGAATCCTGTATTATTTGCTGATAACAAATGCCACGAAGATAATAGGATAAGAATAAACACTGCTAGAGTGAGAATAAATCGTAATAGCAGCGATAGGAAGATGAAAACTTATACAAAAGAAAGTATCATATAGTGGACAGAAGGTCGAAGAAACGAATACGTCATGTACGTCCTTGGTTCTCAATAGAAATTCAAACAATCAGTCTCCTCGAATTTGTCCATATTTTCATTCCTATTGTTTGCAACAATTATTAACTAACATCGGGCAATAGTTAAAATAATGCTCGATAGCATATGTTATACAAACAATTGTTTTTAATACCATTTTACGGTAGAATATTCATTTTTCGGTCGAAGAAACGGTTCATTGATAATTGATTGGTGACATCGTCAAGGACGGTCTTCCCCACTCCTTCAACTCTTCTGCCTAAGGATAAGTTACACTGCCGGTCACGTACTCTCTCTTTTTCCTGGGGGCTAGCGGACGTGACGGAACCTCGTGGGGCTGCACTCCATTTCTACTGACCACTACTGACCACTGGCGAGCTCTGGTGACCAATACTGACCAGTACTGACCAGCAGTGACCGCTAGTGACCACGATTGACCACTCGTGAGAACTATTGACCAATACTGACCAATACCGACCATTGCTGACCAGAATCTCACGTCTATCATTTCTTTTCCGAAATTCACACGTCTGCTGGCCTTAAATGTATCGTTTCGCCTTGATTTTGTATATTTGGCCCCCTTACATATTTGATTTCTTGCTATTTGCTTGATTTCTTTGGCGCATATTCTATATTGCACATACAAATTTCTTTCACTGGCCATTACTGACCAGTGGTGATTTCCGAACCTCCCGTTTCTAATTTCTTTCTCGACCTTCAAACGCCTGCTGGGCTTAAATGTTGGGTTTCGTTTCGCTTTTATTTCTCTGGTCTCCTTCCATATTTCACTGCTTATTCCTTGTTTGATTTGTTCGGTGCATATTCTATACTGCATGTACAAATCTGTTTCACTGATCACTATCGACACGGTGGCGAGTGATATCTCGATCCACCATTTCTCACTTCTTTCTCGATATTCAAATATCTGTTGGGATTGAATCTATCGTTTCGCCTCGCTTTCATTTGTCTGGTCTCCTTTCATATTTTACTTTTGGCTCCTTGTTTATGAATGTGTTTGTTCCCTTATTTTATTCTTGTCTCTAAGGTTGCTTGTTCTATATGTTGTGCTCTTGGCCATGTCTATTTTTACGTCACTGGTTTATCTGGGTCCATTTGTTTCGTTTCAGGGCTTCGTGTTTCCCAATTTATTATATTTAATTGTTTAACTAACCCCAAATGCAGCCTTTTTTTGTTTGTTTCAGCTTACCTACAGGTCTCCATCATCGTGGGATGACACCACAAGGACATCGAGGGACTTTATTAAATTTATTTTTAAGGCTGCGATACCAAGCAATTATTAACTTAACTTCTCGTTCTCTCATTCCTTCATTTCTTGCTTCGATCACCGCTGTTTCGTCAAACGAAACATGTGATCGACCATACAGTTGGTCCGAAAGATCTAATCGCCTTTCCTTGGTAACTCGATGCAAGGAAAATGTTTCTTCGCTGGAAGGTGTGGAGTATCCGTTTTCTGCGAAAACGCACATCTTCTAGCGGACGTCGTACTTGTCTCAGGTACTCTCTCTTTGTCAGACAGCCTAAGTCGGGTCCTTCGAGCTCCCGGCGGATTGCGTTGGAGAAATAGAGACCTCGATTCGGGGGCGCATCATCCGTTTTCCTATGGAGATCGAGTTAGCAACGGCAGTAGATTCGATCCAAAGATCCGCTATACGTTTCAGCATCGCGTTGCGTCGTGTCTCCCATAATTTAGCTTCATTCCTCTTTTTAAACAAAATAATTGCTTGGTACAATTAAACTAGCAGATCGAAGGGATTTTGGTTCCTTCTATCGTCTTAGTTTAGTTATTCAGATTGTAAAATTGCGGGTCTCCACTCGCAGCAACCTCCACGTGATGAGGCCTGGGTAATATTATTTAGCGTTTAATTAATAATCGTATCCTCTTAGCCGGGTAATGCAATTATTAATTAAAAACTAAATAATATTAGCAAATTGGCTGCGATCCGCCTTGGATAGGTTATCATAAATATAGAGCTTCTTCACTAGGTTAGTTTTGATTATCATTGATTCAGCAAAAATTCCAGAGTATTGTCACAGGCGTGGTATACGAGTAGATCTTTCACCCTATTTTTATGGAGTCTCGAAACCTCATTATCTTTTTCGTGCCATGCGCAACGTTACCAACAGATTCAAAAATGAATATTAATCCCTTCCTGAGTCAACTCAGAAAGAGGACTCAGAGAAGAGGACTCTAAAATCATCTCCGAATTTTCAGGTCAGTATGACAGTCAGATTGGGCCACAAAAGTCCATAATGTGCAAGGTCTACATACTCGTATACCTCGTCTGTGATATTACAAGACGTGTCAAGAAATGTTCTCGCCGTCTCCAATCTTTCGTATCTGCGTATGGATAGTAAGAATGGCCACAACTGGCTCGCGAATCACCACTTCATCATCTGTGTTCTAGTGCATAGAGAGGCGCAATACATATGCAATTCACAGTTCAAAGAGGCGCCGTTTTAGGGCAATCGGAGAACTGACTCGTGAAACAAACTGAGGTAACAAGATACAATGACGGGCTGTTCCTATATTGTGAATAATTACTTTAAAATTACTTTAATGAAACTAATGGCACTCGTGTCACTCGAAATAACGTACAATAATTACTGTTGTAAACTAAGAGGACGAAAGTTTAAAACTTACTTACATTTGCACGGAATCATTATGAAACTAATTGTCATTCGTAAGAGATTTAAGATTTAGGAAAGGTTTATGTAATGACGAAAGTATCTGTTTTTTCCGAAGATATAATCGATTCCAATTTACCACATATCCCCCTCGCAGGGCTATTATTTTCTTCCATATTTCCTGCACGAATGTTCTAGAAATTTCTTTCATAGTCGGATATATTCTCGAGAAGATTGATTCTGTACAGTTGAACGATTGAAAAATTTCCTACAGGCAAATACGTGGAGGAATCTTTACCTA